TATTGACTACCGGCAATTGAACAAGGTGACCATTAAGAATAAGTATCCTTTTCTAAGGATAGATGACTTGTTTATCCAACTCCAAGGAGCGAGTTACTTTTCTAAGATTGACCTTACGTCGGGCAATCACCAATTGAGGGTGAAAGGTGATGATATTCCGAAAATGGCTTTTAGAACCCGGTATGGTCATTATGAATATTTGGTGATGTCGTTTGGTTTGACTATTGCTCCGGCAGCATTTATGGATTTGATGAATAGGGTGTTTAGACAATACCTTGATATGTTAGTAATTGTGTTCATTGATGATATATTGATTTATTCGAGAAGTGAGGATTATCACATCAATCATTTCAATATTGTGTTGCAAATTCTCAAGGACCAACAACTCTTTGCAAAATTTAGCAAGTGTGAGTTTTTGTGAAGGTCTGTAGCTTTTCTTGGCCATATTGTGTCAAGTAAGTATATTGAGGTAGATCCTAAGAAGACGAATGCGGTCAAGAGTAGAAATTGTTCTTCTCGACTCCTCTCTTTTCATATTATTTTTAAAGATTTCATGTTTTCTTTTGGTTCTTGATATTAATTTTCACGTGTTGTGATCTTGATGGCTACCGTTAGCATCAACATGTAAAGGGTTAAGGAAGCTAACAATATCAGAAAAAGAACTACTCACTTGTCGAGCATGTGTTTAATCTTTACTGCTTGTCTTACTTCTGCGTTAATATTATCTTGTTTTTCTTTAGTTCTCTGTCTAAATTAATAGCTATAGTTGCTTTTGGTTATATGCCGAAAAATATGTTTCTTGTTGATATCGCGGATTTAGATTCAGTGTTCTAAAACTCGACGTTGTAGAGATTTTTGGTACCATATACAGTCTGCTTCCTGATAGTTTGTATACTCTTCATGTATTAAGTTTTGAATAGGTCCTTGAATTAGCTTGGTGTCGAATTGTTTTTCTTCTTCAAGTTACTTAATGACTATAAGTTTACTAGTGTCAAGAAAAATTATCATTTTTGGCCTATTCTATTAAATTTAGAACTAGATTAACATAAAAATCATATCAATAGGAACCTAGTGTTGAAGTTCACTGAAAAACATTCATATTTATTAAATAGTTTATTTTCATGTTTATAACTTAGAAATTACATTAAGGTATTATGTTCTTTTCCATTTGCTGCTATGTGTGCTAGAGACATGCTTTCAGAATGGTTATCTTTTCTTAATGGCATTCGAAGAGTAAGATATTAGGATTCCATTAAGCTAATGGTTATCTTTCCTAAGGGGTTTGCATTGCCTTCATTGTCTTCTTGAAATGCGCATTACGATATACGTTGGTAGTTGCAGTTCCAACTGCCAAACCTCCCTTTGTCTTGAACTGCTTGTTGTTGTAAATAAACTGCAATGCCTTCCCATTCTCAATTGGGAATTCTCTGCAAAAAAATGACAATAATTGATATTCATATAGTTACATAGGAATACATGATCTGTCGAATTATTAAAGGGGAAATAGAAACTTGATGAACACTCCAAGATGCAAAAATGAACACCACATGGCTATTGGCTACAGTTTAAACAGAACAATAGTTGAATCTAATTACCCTGCTATTAGTATGTTAAGCATGACAATGGTACCTACCGCATTCCCGCAAGCTCTCCCACCTATAGTTTGGCCTATGTTTTCCCTAGTCGGTGCCTTGTCTTCATGATGATTTTTTCTTGTACCTGGACTATTGGACTGATCTGGTTCAACAAGATCAATACAAGAGTTGTGAGTAATAATATTATTTTTTTTTGACAAAGAAAGAGTAATAATAGTTTTACCTGTATGACTGTGACTTTTCTGGGAATCTGCCTGATCCATTTGTTCTTGAGGTGTCTTAGGTCTCTCATCATTGTTTGTATTATTTTTATTATTCTTCTTTTTTTGAGTTTGCCACTGTTCTTCCTACTGATTTGGCTCTTCTTCTTGGTAAATCTCTCTTCTGGCATATTCTATATTAGACTTCAGCAAACCTAGGAAGAATGTGAAAGTTTTAGTTTGACAGTCATATGAACAGTTTATTGTATGAACAACAAACCTATAATTGCAGGTAAGTATTGTACTCCCAACAAACCTAGGAAAAATGATACCTAGTTATGGTATGACATTATTTGTTTCATTTCAAGAACCAAGTAAATTCCGACATATAATGCAAGACGTCTTATTTGTTAAGTCAGCTTGGTCACTTTGCCTAGTTGACTTCTTTTATCCAGCAATTTAGATGCATCATGTACAGGTCTCGGAGAAGAACCTGTAATGATGTACCATTACCTTTGTCTTCATTGTTCCGTTAGATTCACCTTTTGTCTCTCTTCCTCTTCTCTTTTGCTACTTGATTTACTTGAGGTGAGTATATTACCTCAATACTGATAATTTCACATGACTAGCCTTCATACATTATATTGATTTGTTGAAATTTAACTATTGATTTGCAATTTGAAGATTACAAAGAAAGCAACCGTAGTGGAAGAACATTGATATCAATTTCAGGACTCTTTGTGTGGACTTTGCAGGTTAGTAT